AAATTTGTTCTTGGCTGCTAGGCCTTAATTTACCCCATGGGAAGGACAGTTTCCTCCCTATGCTGTGGGCCATGCCTCGGTGTAAACTGCCACACCTGTGTGTTATCACATGTGATTCTGTTCTGAATTAAGAGCCTAGAATGCCTTCAAGAACACAAATTTAAAAACACTTAGACTAGAAGGCAAACATGAAATCTGGGAGCCCTGGCAGCCGTCTTTTATGCCAGTTGGTTTTCTGAAGTGAGTCTTTACAAAGCTTGAGGTTGGCCCTGTGATGGTTCTCCCTGGCCAGGGTAGGTCAGTGGAGGTTTAGTGTCGGATATACTTGTGTAGAATTGAGAGCACAGCATTTAGCCACCTACTTATATTTCCTCACCTCTCTTTTTTGAAAGCCAAAGGCACGTCCCTGACAACTGACAATACCACTGGAAGGAATAATGCAGACATTTTTGAAGACAAGTTACACCTCTGCTCAGCACTCTGGACCCCACGATGCCTTTGAGTCTCTGTGTAAACTCCTGTGGGCTCCAGGGTAACCTGTGGCTCTCTCCCAAGGATTTCCTGATGCTTTGTCTGTAGCAGTGAGTACCCAGAAAGGACACTGGATCAAGTTCAGCCACCAGACTGCTTTATCAGTGGTAAAGTGGTCTGGACTGCTTGCTACCAATCTGTGAGAAGTTTTTGTTTGTGTTTTGTTTTTGTTTTTAAATTGCAGCATATCATGGAGCCACTCTTCAAGTAGATTGGCTGGGCAAAAGAATGTTTTGGCAAGAGCGTTGCTGTAGACTCTCCTCCTCCTTTTTCCGCCAGATTTTTTTTTTTTTTTTTTTTTTTTTTTTTTGAACACATTCTCACCTGTAGGTCATTCTCCAGCAGGTAGGCACCTTAACTGGAGACTGGAGGCCTTCCAAAGAAAGGGAGCGAGTTGCATCCTGAGTAGCCTCCTAGAGGATATCTGGCTTTAGATTTTCTTTTAGCAGTGTTCAGGAATAGAATATTGATGTTGGTCAATGCATCAAGACATAGTAGCCGAGCCTTTCCCTATAATGTGGGATAAGAAGCTTATCAAGTTCTTCCAACTTAAGAACTGGTTTGAAGCTGCTCATACCCGGATATTAAGTTGAAAGAATCTCAGAGCTTAGTTTTCATGGTACAAAAGCATGTGTGATAAAAAGAGAGACAGAAAGGAAGAGTGAAGAAAAAAGAAGACGAAGAGACAAGGAAAACTAGTTTTGGTGATGAAAAGCCAGCTGGGACACCGGATTTGGGGAGGTGAAAAAAATCATGACGTGGGGCAAAGCTTGCAGGGTTTCCAAAGAGACGGACTTTTCTTGTTAATGCACTCATTATTGAACAGTGTGTCAGAGTGGGCTCATTGTCTTACTCAGTCTGCTTCTTAAAATTTGCCTTTTTAAAGTTATTATGATGTCCTTAAATATTTCCAAGGCATTACTCCCATTTCCTCTTTCAATATTGTTTGAAGAAGTGTAAGTTTCTGCTTTCAGGACCGCTGTCATTGTGTCTGTGTCACAGCTTCCCTTCAGGCCACTAGAGATGTATATTTGGATGCCGGTGAGCTGAGGAGGAGACCCCCAAGAAAGGGCGGTCCTCGAGCCTTGTATGTACCCATGGAGGGGAGTGACTTTGTGAGGGTCAGCAATGTTTACTCATGCACACCCTCCTTTCTTGTGATATTGACAGCCATCTTCCTTGAGTGAGGTGTAAAGCCCTCTTAAGATTTTTCAGTACCCCACTCCCAAAGAATGTTTAATATGTAAAAACATTGCTTGAAAAGTTGTCTACCAGTGAATTTGGGGATGATCTAGGGCCAGTACCACAGCTCCTGCACAGACAACCAAGTCCTCTGGCTTAGGAGAGTACAAGAGAGTAGCCAAAAGAGTATAGTACCCAAGGCTCTTACCCTTATCTTGGCCAGTGTCTGGGCAGAGCCCAGTCAGTGCATACTTTCCCCTATAATTCTTAGGTTACAAACTTGAGTTTCAGGGAATTTCAGTCAGCAACCGGTAGAGTGAATAAATACTTGGTTACCAGCCTAATAATGTGAACTGCTACACTTATTTTTATTCTTTAAGAACACAAAGACTTTATGCAGATACTTTAACTATAAATTAATGTAAAATGGTGAATGTTTCTAAAGGAGGGAAAACAGAATCTTATTCACTTATGCAATCAATCAGTGAATGATTTAAAGATGATGCTAGAAGAGAGCTCTAAGGAGAGAACATGGATGACCAGTGTGGTCAGGATAGGAGGGATCAGTCTGTCCCATCCCGTTGGTGGGAAAGGAGGAAAGAGGGAATCAGAGTTACATAGTAATTACTTGGTGACAAGTGCAATGGGGTGTGGGTAGAATTTATTCTCAGAGCCAAGGGGACTTGATGGTTATAAATTAAGTTGCTTTTAGTGATGGAATTTATAGACAGGTCGTGTTGTTCCAAAAGATGTGAATAGGAGCCACAATAGGAAGTTTATTCAGAATAAAATAAAGACTTAGATTAGTGAGAGTTATAATTTGATTTCTTAGACTGGGGGTTTAATTGAACTTCATTATATCCCTGGGTAACACACAGAGCCTTGGGATGAGGAAAAGCCATTTTGGATTCTGCCTGCCACAAACAGACATATTCTAAACAGTGCTACTAAAGTTAAGACTGTTCAAATATTTTATTTTCTCTGACAACTACTTTTTATGATGATAAACAATTAAGACCATTTAAAATATGGGAGTACAAATATTTTTTTGAATTAGATTAACTTGCAAAAACCAAATTTGCAGTACTTGGATTGTTTGTAGACAGACTTTGGTGTCAATTTAAAACCAAGATAATTTTTATATTCTTTCCAATAGAATTCATGACAGCTTCTGCAGTTTTCTTAAACCACAAAAAAAAGTGCTGCAATGATGAACAAAGAATTATTAAAAAAAAAAAAAAAGAACTACTTTTGTATCTTTATTTTGGAATTTCTTGTTCTATTATAAATATGGAAGTATCCCTATTTCAGAAGACATATTTTGTTAAAAATGAATTGTACATATTTAAATATGTATTTTTGCACAGGTCTTTTTTTCTGATATCCTGTTTTGGTACAATTGAGATCATCTAGTATTTATTTATTAATTAATAAAAATAAATACCTTTTTATAATTTGAAGTGGTTCACTGCCAAGCCAATAGTTTAGAATCTGCCTCCTTTACAGTTAAGGGATGCCTCTGTTCTGTGAAAGTCTCTGTCCCTTTTAGTGTCCCTGGAGTGAATTCATACAGATGAAGTGGGCGTGGCTGATTTCCATTTAGACTACATGGAACCAAGTAACACACTGCTTTTCTTTGTTTGGGGTGGGTGGGTGTGTGTGTGTGTGTGTGTGTGTGTGTGTGTGTGTGTATGTATGTACACGCGCGCAATAATACTCTGAGCACACCTGTGTTATTAGTATGTGATGTGGTTTAAACTAATGGGGAAAACAAAACAAAGCTGAAAGTGCCTGAACCTAGTTTTAGCTCAGACAGATTCTCTTTAAAGACTTGAATGCTGAGTTGAACTTCTGGAGTTTGCTTTTTCCACCTAAATGTTATCTCTAAAGTTTTAGGGGAGAAGTTAAAAGCCATTGAGGCTAGTAATTTTTATAAGGTATTTTAAAATTAAGACATTTTGGTTCACAGTAATTTAACTGGCAATTGACTGCCCTGTGCCACCCAAGGGTTATAAACCGATGTCAGCCAGCAGCTGTTTTGTTATTCACTCATGAAATACAGAGTTTAAGATAGGATATTTAAAATATTTTGTATAAAAAATACAAGAAGCACCTCTGAGAACACTGAAACAAATGTTTAATTTGAAAAAGAATGTAACTTATAAAGGCAGCTGTCTTCCTGTAAGAGTTCTGTTGCCAAGGGATTTCTTAACGTCTCCATTCTGTCTTGGGTCTGGGAAAAGTTAGGCTTTAAAAAATGATTGTTAAAAGTTTCATTGTTTAAAAGAAAATAATCATTTTTACATCTTGTTGTAAAGCATTTTACCTTTTCAGATCACTTAAATGAGCACTACATATTGTCAGTGTGAATGCAGGGCCTTGAAAGAATTTTTGCTTTTTTTTTTTTTTTTTTTTTGAGCTTGGTTATAAAAGCAATCTCCTGTGTTAAATAAAATGTGTGAATAGTTTGATAAATGTGTACACATAATCAAGAGCATCTCAGCTGGACTTTGTGTTGGCTGCTGTATAGAAATGAACAAATGTCAAGGGATAGAAAATTACTTTGGATATTTAAAAGAGAAGAAATATATAGTCTATTTGTTTTGTAACAAGTTTCTGTAAATAAAATAATTTATACTATTTATAAGAAAAAGTTGTGCTTTGCTTTATGAGAAACTAGTTTGTTGAACAAACATGTTATTAAATGGGCAATAAACTTAGGACTTCTCAATAAATAAGGTTGGCTGCATGAACTGCTTTACATGTTTCTGCCTTGTTGTGGTAGTTAGCCCTCTCACTCTAGTACCTTCCCAGGAACTTTACATCAGACATTGTGGAGACAGCATTCTACTTAAACTTGCTCATTCCTGAATTTGATGTATGTGTTAGATTTTCACCTTCGAGGGAGATTTTAAATATGGAGTCCATACAGTCTCAGACAGACAGACAGACAGACAGACAGACAGACAGACAGACAGACAGACAATGATTTTTGAAGGTTTTTTGATTTTTTTTTGTTTGTTTTTAATTTTTGAGACAGGATTTCACTGTGTAACAATTCTGGCTATCCTGGAACTCACTTTGTAGACCAGGTTGGCCTCGAACTCACTGAGATCTGCCTGCCTCTGCCTCCCGAGTGCTGGGATCAAAGGCAACGCGCGCCACCACTGCCTGACCTCTTTTTTTTGTTTTGTTTTTTTTTTACCTTCGTCCCCTTACTAGCCATACAAATTCATTTGTTTTATTCAGAGCACAACATAATTATATAGTCATTTTAAATTTTTTATTGCTGCTGCTTAAAATAAAGTTGGGAAAAATGCTCATATAGTACATGAACTCGACAAACTGGACCTTGTGAGCATTAGTGAGATAATGCAGTGTCCAATTTCCCTGTGGATAAATTGTTCACTGTGAGTCTCTAGGCTGTCAACGAAAGGATCAACTTATCCAGTCACTTACCTTTCCTACTGCCTTTCCTTGTAGGTAACCTGGCCCTGGATGTCAAGAAACCATCTCAAGGGGCAGGGTTAACAATGTTTGGATCTTTGCAAATGGGATTTTGCTGGCAGAATTGCATTCTGCAAAGGAACTAACAGGACAGAGGTGTGAAAAGATATGGGAGATGATTGATGAAACTCACTGGGCAGGAGGTGCTGATGGACTGTCACTGTTGGCTATCATGAGCCTTTGTCCTCAGGAACATAAAGAGCAAGTTCATGCTTAAAGGTAACCACTAGAGCTCAGAGATACTTCCTGGGTCTGTGCATCTGACTCAGAAGTCAAAGACATGCTGGACTCACTTCCCTATTTCCTACATTGTCAGGCTCTTCCATTGAACATGTCTTTACACTTTCCAATTCCTAATCAAAAGGCTGTCCCTGGGGCAGCAAGGTGGCTCAGTGAGTACAGGCACTTGCTGCCAAACCTGAAGACCTGAGTTTGAACCCCTAATATACATTGTAAATTAACAGACTCCTCCAAGTTCTCTACTAGCCACACATGCACGACAGCATGCATACATGCATGTGCTCTCTTAAACACACACACACTAAAATAAAAACAAAACAAAAAAACCCTTCTTCCAATCTGTTTCTTCTAAGGTCTTGCTACTCTTGCTGCTGTAAACAGTTTAAGACTTTGATCTTGCACAGCTAGTTTCTTGTCCTTGTTACCCTCATTTATAATATAGCCAAAGCTCATGGACTGAAGTAGACATTTCTAGAAACTCTTAGTCTCATGATTCCCCATCAGTCAAAGTAGAATTTTTCAGGAGGAGACTCAAACACTATTAATCCTTTGCCTTAAAAATATCCATCACTTCCGGTCTCCTACAGTAACTACTAGAGAGAGAATTGGGTGGGGGGGAGCAGACAGGACAGGACAGACTCCTCAAGGCAGCATAAACAGCAAGGCTGCTGCAGTGATCTGGGTAAGTGATGCTGGGTCTCTAAACTGCCAAGGGCAGGAGGAGAAATAGTTGGGGAACTCTTTCAGAGACCTTGAGGTCTAGTTATGTTTATCAGATTTCTAGATCCGCCAAACCTACCAATTGATATGCTTTAGGTGGTATAGAGAAGGAAGTGTACAGTAGACTGAAATTGCCATTAGAAAACTCAGATTAATACTCAGGTGGCTGCTGTCTGAACAGAACTGCAAGACAGAAATGGAGTTGTCTCATGGAAGTGGCTGAATGTACCTGGGAAAAATAGACGGTTTTACTGTGTGGTATGTTATTTAAAACCATACTTTACCATATATTCAGCATTTACCAGTATTAAAAGGAACTACATTGTTTCCACTCTGTTCCAGTTTACTATTTTCTTCACTGTTTTGTGAAGGACCGTTACCTAAGTTACAAAGGGCAAGCTGTATAGATTAAAGCCACCATAGATGAGAATTAAGATTTATTTGGCTAAATGTTTCTGATACAGGCAGCTGACTTTATGTAGCTTCACAGGTGCAGTACACAGAAAACAAATTCATTTGCTAGAGTGGGGCATTATGTTGTGTCTAGAATCTTGGCATGAAGAATACATACAATAAATATATTTCTTAGAATACACCTAAAGGAGCCCAGTGCAACTTGCAACTTTTTGCGTGCAACTTTTTGTGGTTATCAGGAAGTCTCCCTTGCTTTGTCAGTTTTAAGTTTTCCATGGAACATGGGTGATAAACTGGGAAATTCCCTTCAGTGGCATGTTTTAAAATCAGAAGGCCAAGAGACAGAAATCAAAGCTGGAAATGACCAGTCTTGGTCAGTTTCATGACATTGGTCTAGATGACTCAGTAAAGTAATATGCTAGTGGTTTCTGTTAATATTCACAGAAGCATGATTCTAAGTTCATCTGAATTTGAGGTTTGTGGTGTAAAATAAACCCCAAGGAGCATGATTATAGCCCACTTTCTGTAGATGATGAAATAGAATCACAGTGATTTCTCTGGGTATAGATTGCCAATATGCAGGGAGCTGGGCCTAGAACTGGCATTTTCCAGTTGAGATATGCAATGGAGCTGTTTCTCTCACATCTTACAGCCTTATTTCAGAGGAGATGGAGATGCTGGGCCTACAGATGGCTCTGCAAGGTTAACAGAGTTTGCTACTCTTAAGAGGACCCAAGTCTGGTTCCCAGAACTTAAAACTTCCTCTAACTCCAAATCCAAGGGAATCCAACAGTTACTACTGGCCTCCTGAGGACAACCCACATACATGTGGCATACACTCACACAAACGTACATACATACATACATACATACATACATGTAAATAAAAATCTTTTGAGAGATGTTGAATTCTAGTTTTCAGCTCTAAGCTGACATTTGGAGGGTTTACTTGAATTTGTAATTAATCTTAAACTGTATAACAATGACTCCAATTTTGTATTATAGATGATATAAGTTCTACTTTTAAATGCCTGGGTTTCTTTCTCGATGAACATTTATTACTTTTCATGAAGAGCAAAGCACTGATTTCTTCCCTGAAGTTGGGTTATTTCTGTTAGTAGGGTAAAAGTTAAAACTGAGCACATTTTAAGCAAGAAGGATGTGGGCAGGACATTCTCTGCCATTGAAAGATCACAGCAGGTCAAGTCGATTTCAAGTTGAAAAAAAGGTAATTAAACAAAAATTGGCATTTGTCTTTTTTGAGTCAAACAGAATTCTAATTTTAAAAGAACATGGTATATTCTCCTTTTTTCCTTTACAGATTTTTTTCCCCTTTACAGATGTTTTTCATATTGTAAGAAATATTTATTGATTAGGGTTTCCCCTCCCCTCCTACCTGGATCAACTGCCTTTCTATCTCTCATTAGAAAACAGGTTTCTTGGGGATAATAAAATGGTAAGATAGAACAAAAACACAACAGAATTGGACAAAACAGAAGGAAAAAAAGCCCAAGAGAAGGCACAAGAATCAGAGGCCCACTTTTTGGCACACTCATGAATTCAAAGAACACACTAAACTGGAAACCAAAATGTATACACAGCAGATCTGGGGCAGACCTGTGCAGGCACTGAGCATGTTGTCTGAGCATATGTGACTTCATGAGCTTTGATTGTGTTGATTTGAGATGGCCTTGTTTTCTTGGTGTCCCCCATCCCCTCTGGCTTATTTACTCTGCTTGCTCTCCCAAAGAGTTCCCTGAACAGGGAGGGAATTGTTGGAGGCAACCTATTTAGGGCTGAGGAACAGGGAAAGTTCTTAGAGGCTGTACTCTGTGACTCATTACTACTTGGATTTCATACTTAATCTTGACCAAAAGGCTAATAACTAATTTATCAGGTTATCAAGATAAGCACTTTTAGAAATCCTCAACTTGGTATTTTTAAATGCTGTAGGCATATCCAACAAGCTTTTTTCCTGAACCTCCAAGAAACTCAAGTACAAGTCTGGCCATAGCATTACCCTTAGTGCACACCAGTGGCAGCAACTTCTGAGGACATGGCCTTGACTTTGAAGATCATGTTTATATTCTGGCATGGGTCCATGATTTCCCATCCCATTAATTCCTGCAGAGTTTTTTTTTTTTTTTTTTTTAATGGAGAAATGTTGAATTTTATTTTCAGTCAGGTGATATTTTTTTTTAAGATTTATTTATATGTATACAATATTCTGCTTCCATGTATATCACATCTGCACACCAGAAGAGGGCACCAGATCTCATAATGGATGGTTGTGAGCCACCATGTGGTTGCTGGGAATTGAACTCAGGACCTCTGGAAGAGCAGTCAGTGCTCTTAACCTCTGAGCCATCTCTCCAGCCCCCAGGTGAGATTTTTAATAGGTCATTCCTATGAATGAATGAATGTGTTCTTAAAGCACCAGAAACCTTTCTCACCTCCCTTGCCTTTTATGATAAAACCCATAATTTGCCTCCATCAAGAATCAAGGATAATATTCATCCTTAACTCAAGGGATCTTCTTTGGCTCATTTTCTTATACCCTTCCCCTATCTTACTCTAATCTGTTAGCAAACCTTGCTGCCTCTACATGGTCAGCAACTGAATGCAGAATGACAGAGCAAAGCACTAAGTTCAACTTCGTCATCCTTTGTTCAGTGTCCCCATTGCCTCCCCCACCCCATTTAGGCACCAATTTGCATTTGATCACAGAAAAGAGTTCCCTTCCCAACCTGTACCCCTTTTAAATATGCTTGCATAGTACCTATATCCTAGCTTAGAAGATAAGGCACAATTTTGATTACCTCATCATCGCTGTGCTCCTATTCAAAGAAAAAGTTCATTTTGCTAATACTTCTACAGGACTGGAGTATCTGTTTGAGTAAGTCATATTCTAGAATCTAGTTCATGCCAGCTTCCTAGAGAGGGCCAACACTTTTATTAGTGGGAATCACTGTTGAGTTCTGGTTGAAAACCAAGAGTTCACATCGAGATAATGGGCTTGTGTCACATCCCTAATTTATCAATAAGGCAGGGTTGTAGTGAATATGTCTGACTTGTAGCCTCTATATTGTGGACCACACAGTTAGGCAAAAGTCTAAGAACACTGAACATTTTTCATTAGCAATTCAAGTGCCATTAGTAAACCCAGTACTTAGAGATGTGTATGTTTAAGAAGAAATTAAACAGAAACAATGGCATATTTATTTGATGCTGTTGAAGTGGGCACACAGTGAAGAAATCTATGAAGGCTTCAAGTAACATCTGTGAGGGAATACATTTTTAAATAGTTTTTACATGTTGATTACTCTAGACAATTTCTGAACCCTGTTTAGCAGCAAGTCTCCTTTCTTGATGGTTTCTTGGTACTGCCAGTTCTTGCTATCAGGTCTATAAATAAAGGTAAGGGAAAAAATTAATTATTTAGCAGCCACATGACTCCATGACTAAGAGCTGACCTACTTGTATACACAGGCATTTAAACTCCCCTATTATCAGCAATAACAAATGATGGATAATAAGAATACCTGTTGGTTTCTACTATTTCATTTACTTTATCGATTTTGCAGTGTAGTCTTCCAGCAGCAATAAACCTGGACAGCTCCCTGATTCAGAAAAAGGAAAATAATCCACATTAGTTTCAGAGAACACTCAGAAAACCTGAACTCTTCCTTATAAGTGAAATCTCATTTTCCTCAAGCTTCAACTGTTGCATATACAGTAGTGACATCCCCAATTTGTTGCAGTCTTGAGTCATCTACTGGAATAAAATACCACAAGATATAGTGCTCAGAGAAAAACTTCAGATAGAGGTAAAAACTGCTAGAACCAACAAACGCAGACCCAATGCAGCAGCTGCCTGAGCACTATATCTTGTGATACAACTTGCTCCCATCTTTAAGCTGTTTTTGCTTTTTCCTTGTCTACATGTGGAGATCTTTACATGGCTGACTTTCTCAAGTCAGAGCCAACTTTATCTCTTCAGGCATGCCACATCTGAAGCAAACAGTTCCCAATGTGCTATGTATACTCCAGTATTGATTTGTTTACTTGAATGAAAGGGCATGAAGAGACTCACAATAGCACCAAGCACGAACAGGTCAGTATTTAATGAATCAGTGATTCCATTCCCACCTTTTGTCACTAACCTAACTCCAACATTATCACAGGAAATGCCTCTAAATACAAAACAAGATCTGGGCAGCACTGTGAGCACAATGCAGTGTGGTGACAGCCCTGGTTAAATTACTCAAGCAGAGGACTTTCCATGCTGTGCATTTTCCTCATCTTCCTGAAAACTATCCCAAAAGTCAGACATGGACAGATGCCACTGTTAAAATAATACTGCAGAAAGTCTTTGTTTTTTCTTCTATAAAACTGAGGGAAGCAGTGTAAGTTCAGGAAATGTAGAAAACCACACATTAAAGGCAGTTTTTATGCACAAATGTATTAAACTTACTGGTCAATGAATTCCACGCCCACACCAAACGCTTCTGCCATATAGCCAAGGGTTAATGACCTATATGATTCCAGCAGCTGGCTGTACGCATGAATTCTCATTTCCCTTACATAGTATCGATAATGAGGTGCAAAGAGCCAATCCTTTTTCATTTCCTGTTCCACGATTGCTACAATAAATAACAAATTATGAGTCTTCCTTTCACCTAAGGAATTAGAAGTTCAGTAGCTTTGAGTCCATTATGTATTGCTGTCCTTTCATACCAGCAATGGACAGGCAGCAGCAAAGATGGAGACCTACTGGAACTATCACCAGATTATATAGCATAAGCATTGGGGAACTTTATTGTACTCAAGCAAAATTCAGTGGTTTCATTTATAACAAAAACAGCAGGGACAGTGATCAATAAAAGAAGAAAAACAAAAAGACATTTTTTATGAAGTCGCAAAACAAGCAATAAAGACTGATGAAACCTGTTATAAGAAATGTAAAGTTTGAGGACAAATAAAATACAAGGCTTACTTAACAGGAGAATAAGTTGATAACAAAATTGAAGAGTAAAGTGTACACAATATATTAATGGGTAATCCACCAGAATATAAATTACCTTACTAAATACTTCTGCTCTGGATACTAAGCCATTATGCAAAACAAGTAAGTCATATAAAGAAAATGGCAGTAACCACGTGATGACAAAGCCCTCAGCTGAGGCAATAGACAAGAAAGGGCTCCTAGAAACTTAGCTGAGACCATTGTTTAAGAGCAGTGTTGGTAAACACAAGTCCTAAGGCAGTGTTAAGTATTACTATTACTGAGTACAGAAATAAAACAAGATCGCAAAAACAGTAAGAGGGTAGAGACAAGGTGAACAAGGGCATTTGGTGTGAGCAAACTGAAAAAAATCACAGGAAAAGCAAGAATTTGGCTGTAGTCTGTTTAGCAGTTAATTTTTTTTTTTAGAGGGTTAAGAATGAGGTTCAAACATACTGTGGCGCTGTTCAAGTGGATGTGCCCATCAGACAAGCAAAGATACCAAGGAGGGGTAAGGCATGGGTCTAGTATTTGAAGGTTCAGGACTAGAACCAGGAATCTCGGGAGCACAGCCATCCAGATAATTTTTCCTAAAAGATGACAGAGACAAGGCAGGGGCAACCAAAAGCAGTCAGTCACTGAAAGGAAGGTCCAAAGAAAACAAAAGTATGTTCCTGTGGAACCAAGTGAACAAAACTGAAAAATGAAGGATGTTCTATGTCCAGTGAGACAGAATGAAAGGGAGGCCACTAAGATGGTGTGTACACTCTCACCAACAATAAAGTACATACCACCAATAAAACTGCTTTTTCCTCTCAAGTTGCCTAAGGTTTTATTAAAATGTGAGATGGGTTCTTTCAAATACTATGAAATAAGTATAAATGACATGCACACACACTAGCACAAATCTTCTAGGGGCAGCATGGTCAAGGTGTACTAATACTTGATTTCTTAGACTCCACCTAAGGAGTAAGTGGGACAGCAGTGCTACCTGCATGTTCAAAACAAGACTATTTTACAACGCTAAGTGGAAACCTTAGAAATTTTCTATCAGTAGACAATAAACTCATGTTACACTCAGAGAGCCCTTCAACAATTAGAAACTATAAGGAACTCCACTTGGGTGGAACACTATGTACTTGGTTCATGAGAGTCACTCATGTGATTTCAACAACACACTCCCTGGCAGAGAATTCTGCTTTGCACTTCACTTAAGTGTCTTAAACACATTCATCTATGAATATTCAAGACTCAATCTCGAAAAACTCAAGTTTTATATGGTTCGTGAGTGCAAATAAAAGGTAAGAACTTGATGGTCTTCCGCATTTAGAACACCTGGGAAGTGTACAGATTTATTAAATCTAAAATCTTTCATTCAGAACTATTTGAATACAAATTGATAAGAACAGAGTGAGAAAGGCTGAAGCCCTAACATCCAAAAGGACCAAAGTCATCAATTTAATTTCACTAGAAAGAACATGCTTCCCTACAAACAGCAGCAGCATTTGTCACTAATAAGTTTTAGGGGAATCATTTGAGGAGGAAGTCTTTCTCATCTTAGTAATTTAGTCACCAGTAGCAAACCAAATAGCCAGGAGGGAGTAGAGTCCCCCAAAGAAGCAACCTTGTGTCCACAGGGCTCTGTAAATTAGCTGTGAAAGGACATAACAATTGTTCACAGATTGTTTTCAATCCACAGGCCTGGCTATTTAAGGTCCTTAAATGGAGTGATGATTAATTTTGGTCTCAAAGGACTCAGAATTCCCTACATCCTTTGCTACAAACCTAGTAGCAAGCTGTCTGCTCACATTCACTTTACTCCTTAAGACAAACTCCCACATCACAGGATCAGACAAACAGCTTTAGGCTTTGCTAACCATACAGCTCTTTGTCATACATTCTTTTTCTGTTGTTTTAAAAGCCACTTTAAAAACAAAATTCAGACCAGTGAGCTAGTGCATCAGGTAGAGACATACACCGCCAAGTCTGATGACCCCTTCAATGCCCATGACCCACATGGTGGTCGTGAAGCAACCCCTAAAAGTTGTCCTCTTGACTTTCACTCATGCACCTTGGCACACACATGCATACAACATGCATATAACACATACACAATAATTCTTACATTTGGAAACATATAAATACCTATCAAGTTTGTTGACATTCCTTTACGTAAAACAGGCAGAAAATGAGTGAAGACCTGCAGTTAACAAAGACCACTGTATCTCTTATATGTGAAAAGTTCAATTTTGCTCATTCACCCACAGGATGAGAAGATGAAGACAGATATCGATCCTTACCTAATGATTGAAAGAAAACTGAATAACGGCATTCGTAGAGAGAAAACAGATACTGCCGAACTGCTGGAAGACTGTGCAAAACTTCAAGAATCTCTGCTCCTTTAATGACCTGAGTATTGAAAAAAAGCAAAAGCCAAAACCAATAAACACATTGTAATGACTTCTGTGTTTTTAAAATAGAAAAGCATGAAACAGTCTTTAAAGGGAGTTTTGATTTCATCGTTTACCTTTTCCCTGAGATCTGGTCTTTCTAAGGCAATCATACTGACGTAAACAGTGTAAGTCACAAACGTCTTATAGTCCATGAGCTCATAGGATGTAAATGTAGAAACCGTGTCGAGAAAGAGCTCCGCTGCCTGTTTGAAATCACGGATAGCCACACAGTACAGACCTTGGTATACTTTCAGCCTATTTCTCCTGTCCCAGTCTCCACCTTCTTCTATTAGACTAGTAAATAACACAAAAGAAACAGATGTTAGTTCTAAAAAAACTAACTGAAGTATTTCAGTTTTTCAACTATTTGACCAAATTCCATAAATGTAAACAAAAAAATTGGTAAGCTTAGGCCTACCAACTTATTAACATCCCGTAACCTCCAGGGTTATACCCACTGCTAAAAGTACCTCTTGGCCTTTTCTGTGTTTCGAGTGATGAGGTCATTATCCATATAAAAGAGACCAATCCTTAGGAGATAAAACACAATATCTAGTCGATGACCCAGGGCCACAGTCTTATCATATGTCTTTCGAAACGCTGTCAGAGCTCCCTCCTGTAGAATTCAAGACCAAAGAGGAGAAAAAGTACTCAATTTAGCAATGGCATCAGCTTCCTGGATTTTCCTGAAAGAGTGGCCATCAAAATAGGAAGTAGAGATGCAGTGAAAGGGTCATTGCCATACTTGGGAATAGGACCAAGGGGCATCCTTGAGGTGTACACAGTGTAGTGCAGATACTTCACTCTGGGAAGGTCATAGGAAAAGCACCAATAATATACAATGGTACTGTTGTTTCCATGTCCTCAGTGTTTTCACCTTTAACAATTACACTACTTAAAAAATTATTAATCATTTAAAGAGGAGACTGGTATCACTGGTTATATTAAATACCACTGATTCCATGCATATACAACTTCATCTCAAAGAACTGATCCTTACAAAAACACTAATAAAATCAGATGTCTACACTGGGTGTTTTTCAGAGCATGACTAGCTAGTCTGTTTCAGTTATTTGTCATGCTTCATAAATGTATAAAAGGATCTGGAATTAAAGAAGGCGGTAAGCTTTCCTGTGGATGCCCTGGAATCAAACCTGGGTCATCTGTGAGAGCAATCAATGCTCTGAACCCCTGAGCCATCTCTCCAGCCCCCTAATGTATACCTTTTAAAATGTACAATAATGCCGGGCGTTGGTGGCGCACACCTTTAATCCCAGCACTCGGGAGACAGAGGCAGGCAGATCTCTGTGAGTTCAAGACCAGCCTGGTCTACAAGAGCTAGTTCCAGGACAGCCTCCAAAGCCACAGAGAAACCCTGTCTTGAGAAACAAACAATCAAACAAAAACAAAACAACAACAAAAAAAAACAACAAAAAACCCAAACAACAACAAAAAAATAATGTACAATAAGAATATACATGCTTCCCAACCAAAAAAGTGAACTACAGTTAATGACCCCAATACTGTAAAAGGAGTAAGCTAAACCTCTGGTTGTGAAATTGTTTTGGAGATTTTTATTACTTTCACGTAAGTATATGTGTTTGTGCCTGTCTTGGGGTGTATGCACATGAGTGAAGGTGCCCTTGGAGGCTGAAGGCATCAGATCCCTTAGAGCTAGAGTTGTGAACTTCTTGATGTGGGTGCTAGGAACTATATGTATGTACTATAACATAGTACATACTCTTAAACCAATAAGCCATCTCTCTAGCCCGATGTGCACTTGTTTCTAATGATACACAAAGGCGTAATATACACCTGGCTACTGTTAAGAACAGGGAACCTGGTGCTGCAACATTATGTATTTACTGTATTTGTACTGACTCCTCAGTACAGGTAAACATAACTATCCTTTACAAAAAAGGTTTGCCACACAATGGTGGTGCATGCCTTTAAGCACTCAAGAGGCAGAGGCAGGCAAATCTCTGAGTTCAAAGCCAGACTGGTCTACAGAGTGCCAAGACAGCCAGGGCTATACAGAGAAACCCTGCCTTGAAAAAATCAAAACAACCTCAAAAATGATTCATTTATTCAATGAGATATCATCCATCTGCGCTAGTCCCCAACATCAGTCTGTACCTCCAGAGAGGAGAGAGCATCTCTACTGACCTGTCACCTACCCAGAGAGAAGACAGCACCTCCACTGACCTTGTCACCTATCAGACAGAGGTACTCTGCTTTTGCCATCATTGCATCTCGAATTTCACTCTCTCCCAGATTCTTCTCTGCATCCTCCAGCTCCTCATCCAAGCGTTTCAACTCTTCTTCATTTGCTTTCTTCATTTTACTGAGGAGATCCATGTCCATCTGCCAGTCGAGGGATTTACACAAGGCTTCATAATAAGGAGCCATATCTAAAAGCCAGAAAACGCGCACCGTGAGGTCATTTGTCAGTGTTTGCTTGCTTCTTCCCACCCCACCAAAGGTCAGGCTGCAGGCGCCTGCCAATTGCTGGCCCGGGACAGCACAGCTAAGGTTTTGCAGGTGGGAGGCCTGCTTGAGGGCAATCTGAGCAGGGCTGATCTCTACTAAGCCCGCAGAGAGGGAAATCCTCAGTTTGCTCTGTCCAGCTCCTGTTCCCAAGGAGTCCTTATGTCAGGGAGAGGGCACACACTCGATATGTCCTGCTAGGGACAGACCCCTATTGCCCCTTGACAGGGAGCACAACGCTGGCAGACAGTCAAGGCAAAAGCCGCGGAGCCTTTGCTGGGAGCCTAACCGCGACAAGCACCTGAGGCTTTCCCTGAGCAGCCCGCCGCAGGAACGAACCACTGAGGCACGACCCTCTAGGCACTAGGAGGGCTTCCTAGGGTTCCCCAAAAAGCCCAAACGGGAGCCGCCCAGCCGGGCCACCCGGACCGCCCCAGCCTAGGCCGCTGACTCGGCGCTCCCGGGCCTCACTGTTTTCCCGGACCGCCGCCATCAGCTCCTCGCGCACCGCCGCGTTCCCGCGGTGCTCGGGCAGGCTGAGCAGGAAGCGCAGCTGCGCGATGCGCAGGTCGGGGTTCTTGGGAAGACCCTCTTCCTCTAGGTTTTCCAGCGGCATGGTGACGACAGAAGAGCGAACTGCGGGGACCAAGCACCGTCCTGCACCACCACCGGAAGCAAGAGACGGAAGGCGCCTGTAGCCGCCAGCCTAACTTCCGGTCGGGGTCTCTGCCTCCGCCGCCTGCAGCGTCTCCTACTGGACACCGGCGGGATCACTGGCACGATCTGAGTTCTGCACACCGCCCTCACCTCCACCACCACCTCTGGTGTTGGCCAGAGCTCTTTCTTACTCTAGGTCACTCAGAGGTCAGAGTTGGGCTCACCTACAGTTTCTTAAATCAATTCTCTTTCCCATTTTAGCTGTTTTACCTATGTTGCATTTGCAACTGATAGGATCTGGAAATCCTCTAAGAACTTGAAAATATAATACAGAGGAGAGAAACAATAAAAACAGTTGCCGTACTTTTCTAGATTCCCTCATTGTAATCGTCTTGAGGCTACGATGAAATTTTATTGGCACACACTGCAGGCATACAAACTGGGACAGAAAGAGGTTAGAAAAAGTGATTAGCTAAAGTAACATAACAGTTCAGCAGCAAGCCCTGAATTAAACCTCTTTTCTTTACCTTTAAAGTCCACACTCAGCCTGACCTAAGGAAAAGGAACCACATATACCCTAGTTTTAACTCAGTGACATTATCTTAAAGAAACGTTTTTACAGTGTTTATTTGTGTGTGAAAACATTGGAATCGTCCTCAGGATGGGAAATGGTTACATAAAATCCCCTGTGGCTTTTGAATGAGACATGTCCCACTGAGGCACAGTTATTTGAACACATGGTCCCCATTGGTGGTGTTGTTTGGACACCTTAAAGAACCTTTAGGAGGTAGAAGCCTTGCTTGAGGAAGTGCCTCACTGGGGACAGACCCCATTTCTAGGACTTTCTTTGCTCTCTGTGTGTCGCTGAAGATGTGAGCTCCTACTTTCTTGTTCCAGCCAACTGCTTCCATGCCTCACCCACTATTAAAAACTCTTTGAAAGTGCAAGCCAAAATAAACTCATAAGCTGCGTTTGGTTATGGTAGTTTATCAAAGGAAAAAAAAGGAACTAGTACAAGCACTGGATGGATTTATTCTCATTTACTTTTATTAATCCCTGAAATTGAAATGACTGTTAGGCAACACTATTCCACAGAGGTCTAAAAGCCAGGGATTTCACCTCAAATATTGAATTCTACATTAAAGCAGAATTCCACTAGAAGTACGTTTTTGTTGGTGGTGGTGATTTTTGTTTGTTTGTTTGTTTGTTTTGTACCTTCGATACAGCAGCTGCACCTGAATCCACTGCTGTTTCAGCTACTGACCAAGGCTCACTGCCCTGCTATTCATGCCAAGGCCACACAGGACTTCTGCAACTCATCAGAACTGCCTTGGCCACTGGAGACAAATGCAGTTTTTAACTAAGTCTCTATTGTTCTATTTTTTTTTGGGGGGGGTTTCGAGACAGGTTTCTCTGTATAGCTTTGGAGCCTATCCTGGCACTCGCTCTGGACACCAGGCTGGCCTTGAACTCACAGAGATTCGCCTGCATCTGCCTCCCAAGTGCTGGTATTAAAGGTGTGCGCCACCAATGCCCGGCTCTATTGTTCTACTTTACCAATATAGATTTGAGAGTCAGATACTGGGTGATTAACTCAAGAGATGTTGAAGAGCAATGAGTTGACCTTACTCCTTAACACCAACCCAGGAAGAAGGACTCTCTTCCACCATCTAAACCATAAAAGACCACCACCCTCAAAGTCCCTCCCTACTACTTCCTGTTCTTCTCTCTAGCATCTTACAGACACCCTATGACTCTATGATTTCTTTCTATCAACTAGTTGCTGGCTCTGCCTTTTGACCCAAGGTTTTATTTAATTAATGTAAACTCAGGGTTCACAGTGTGATCCAATATCCAACAACAATGTTTCCCTTTGGACACAGCTGAATGCTTTCTGTAG